TTTAAAACTTACTTCTTGGGTATAGTAAAAACACAAAGAGCAAAGCAAAAAATTCTTTTAGAATCTCTGAAAAAAAGTTTTGAAAGGTTTAGTAGCACCGATGATGACTCATCTCCACTTCGGAAGAAAAAAGATGTCAATGAGAATGATAAAACAATTGAGATACACAATAGTTTCTGGAATTGTTTTGAGGAAGTTGCTATAGAAAACTCGCACACAGATGAAGATATCGAACAGAAAAGTTCAACAGAAAATGAAATTGATTTATTTACGAAAACTGTTCGACTAAATCAGAAAGCAGACCCTTACAAGTGGTGGTAAGTTAATGCAAAACAATATCCGAGCCTAGTAGAATTTGCTAAGATTTACTTATCTCCAGCTAGTAGTGTATATAGTGAACGGCTATTTTCGGAAGCAGGTATAGTTTACGAGGAAAACCGAAATCGTTTGCTATCAACAAATGCCGAAAAAATTATTTTCATTCATCATAATTTTCATCAAAAATTATTTTCATTCATCATACCACTAATAAATTTTAAGTATTAAAGTGGTTTTAAATAAAAAAATTTCTGATTAATAGAATCTTATATATATAATATACTTATTATTTGATTAATCTGTTTATTGTATTATTATAGGTATACTTAGTAATTTAATCCATTTCTAATGCAATTATTTTCATTTTTCAGTATTCGGTATTCGGCCGAATATTGCAAACTTTTCGGCCGAATACCGAATAGTGTAAAATGTTGCCGAATACATCGAATACCGAATAGTTGCCGAATATTCGTGGTATCTCTAAAATTAAAATCTAAACTTAAAATCCGAGATTAAATTGATAAAGCAAAGATAAATTTAGAATCTCAGATTAACTTGATACGAATAAAAAGATTCTGTATTATTCATTCTGTATTATATTAGGATACTCATTTTCATTTATCATATATGATAGTAACAATAAAGTTTCTTTTACCATGTTTATCTTATGCCACTATGAAAAATATGATTTAATACATTTGGTTTGGTTTATTCATGGTCAACAAAATTTATAAATTGTTTACAAACATATATACATAAAATAACTGATAATTTTCTTTGAACTTTTATATTCTAATAAAAATTATATGATGTGAACTTTATAATAAATTTATTTTTCATCTATTTATCGAGTTATAATAATAAGTACGTTAACGTATTTTATATTATTACAGCATAATATTAATTATAATCGGAACATAATATTAAGATCATTACAGTTGTAATAGTACAATTGTTATATATATATTTAAATTATTATTAGTTGTATTGTGCTCCAAGAAGACCTACCGGTTAACAACATCAGTTTTTGCCATGTCTAATAAGATCTGTCCAACAACATCTATAAATACAATGAAGTATAATAACATCTGTCCAACAACATCTGAAATTTCAGTGGTGTCTGATAACATCTGTGCAAAAATTAAATGAATAGTACAGATGTAGTTACATCTTTTAAATTATAAAAGTGTAACAACATCTGTACAGCTACAGATTTTATTATTAGATTAAACAGATATGGTTGCATCTTTTAAATAACCAAATTGTAATAACATCTGTGCAACTATATCTGTAGATTTTTAAGATAAAGTTATTTTTAAAATAAATTAATTAATAACGCATTACTTTAAACAGATGTAGTTACATATAGGATTTTTTTCAGATGTAACTACATCTGGAAAAAAAATTAACTAATAATGCATTATTTTAACCAGATGTTACATATAGAAAGTTTTTTAGATGTAACTACATCTGGAGAAAATTCTTTCAGATGTTATTAGACTTGGAGAAAAATTACTATATGTAGTTACATCTTCCTATGATGTTTTTAGGGGTCGTTCAATTTTCAGATGATATTGAACAGATGTTATTAGAGAAAAAGAAAAATACAGATGATCTTGGAAAAAAGTGTACAGATGATCTTGGACAACTCTACAGATGTTGTTGGACAGATGTAGTAATCTTTTACCTCAAAGAGCACCGCCTAAGGAAACTTTCTAGGAAGTATAAGCCTCCTTCCTTAGCAATATCGAATTTTCAGCTAGACCCTCTTGGTTCTAAGCCAGAATTCTAATCACTAATAAATTTCGTAGGGGGAACGTTTAAATAAGTTCTTCGCAAATGTCTTTAAATAAGTACCTCGTACTTATTTAAAGACATTTGCGAAGAACTCATACACTTAATAACCGCCGATTTTATGGAATTTATAGGTAATTATCATTTACTTTAAGCATAATTTCTTAGTTAGCGAAATCAAATATTTCTCAATCATTGTTGATTCTACTCCCGATATGTACAAAACAGATAACTAGTTGAGTGGTTTTTTGAATTCATTCCCATGCATAATCATTTTGCAAATTTCATGCTTGAAATTGTTTTGAAAAAGTTTGATCATGGACGTATAAGTATACGTCCATGGTTTGATCAATGTTACACGCGTTATGCGATCTACAAAATTGCCGTGGCCAATCAAACGACAATGCCAGTATTATGTCTGAAATCTATTTTTGTTTACTAGCAAGAATTAAAAAGATCAACGTTCGTTCGTAATTCCATGTATTGCTCAATATTTGCGACATTCCATGTGTTGCTCAATATTTGAACCTCGTAATAGTGAGTACCGTGGAATTCAACTGTTGTTAATTTCTTTAGTTTTCTTCAAGAAATTTATAACTTCTTTTTTACATTAACGCATCAATCTCTTAAAGTCAAAGTTCCTTGCTGGAATATGTCTGAAGGTTTCTTAGATTCTCTTACAAACTTGTTGGTCAGCTCGTGCTGATGCTTGTTTAGCTATTTAATAGGTTTATTCAATTTACAAGTGATTAAGAATTATTTAGAAAATCAAATAAAAACATATGTTACTTGTGATTGTGCATACTTATTAACGGATATTTTCTATCTAGGCTCTTCTTAATCTTAACGACGATTAGAAAGCAAAACCAAGAGCAGAGACCTTCAGACTTTTGACCAAAATGGAACAACTTGAAACAGCTATTTTAATAATCATTCGGAACAGAATCATGGAAAGGTTCATCAAAATTAATAAGATACTGCAATTGGTAAAGCTTGATTCAGAAGTAGATAAAGAACTATACAACTCCTTGGAGTATTACATGCAGCAAGTTTGCTCCAATTTCAAGCAATATGTATATATATATATATATATATATATATATATATATATATATATATATATATATATATATATATATATATATATATATATATATATATATATAAATATATATATATATATATATATATATATATATATATATATATATATATATATATATATATATATATATATATATATATATATATATATATACACATTTGTTGTAGTTTAGATTTAATGTAGCTAATGCAATTATTAGAATGCCACACTCGAAACTCGTGTTAAAGAAGACATCAGTTTTTGATTTCATATTGACATGATCATGATATCAATAATTTTTCACAGTAATATATCACATTCTGAGTTCACTTTTTGAGATAATAAACTTCACATGTTATGGTATCAAGTTAGAAGCTCAAGTTCAGTAAATGTATAATTCCAGTTTGATATCAAACTCACCTCATTAAGGTATCATGTTATAACTTCATAGATATCGATATGATATCATTTCATTTTATGATTGGTAATTTTCATGATTATAAGTGGTAACTTTCACTTTTGTCTTATTATATTTTTTTAAAATTTTTCTGCTGGATGATTGTTAGCAAAAAGCTGATTTTATTGCTGAAGTTTTGTATGTATTTATACTGTTTTGTTTATCACTTATTATGTAAATTTTTAAAAAACGTTTGAAAAAACGAGAACAAAAAACAGGCTGAAAATTTATTTTTTCTAAATTTCAATTTTAACAATTTTCATTAATTTATTATATCTACTCTAATAGTAATAATAATAATAAAAAAAAAATCAAAAGGCCTAAATTATCCTTAATAGGTTAGGTACTGGAAAATAAAGCGCCTTAGCAACAGCCCTTAGAGATATATTTTTTGCAATATCTTGAAAAGTACAAATACAATTTATATATATATATATATATATATATATATATATATATATATATATATATATATATATATATATATATATATATATATATATATATATATATATATATATATACTTTTTGTATGCTTATGACTAAATTTTTCCTTAAGAACTCTTGTTGGTTTTTGATCTAATATCCATAAATTAAAACCTTTTAGTATTTTTTCAAATTGCGATTAAATTTTTGTATATCTTTTAATTTTTTAACAGAGATAAGTTTTGAACCGCTCATTGGAATTTTTCAAGATTTCAGCAATTATTTTTGAGTGTACATGTGATGCGCTGAACCAAGGCACTTTAATACTTTATTTTAAAGCATTAAAATTTAAATTTTAGCAAGCTGTACTTAGACTTTTTATTGATAGAATTTAATGATTTAAGTTATTAAGTTTATGGTATAACTTTTAATTAAGCATTTTTTGAACATATAAAACTACTTGAAAAGTTTAGTTTGTAAAACACGTATGGTTCTCAAGATATTCTTGTTAAAAATAGGTCCATTTTTCTGCCTAAATTTTGCTAACTTATGCGCATAATTATTGAGCTGGGGGTAAAAAAATAATTTTGCTAATTTTTGAAACAATTTAATGTAACATTTCAGAAAAACATAAATGTTCCTATATAATATCAACCTTAAAGGGTACTACCACCTTAAAGATGGCTACGTTAACTTTCTAGTTAAATGCTCTTCTTCCTTGCCAAGACCGTTAGACCATTTCTTTTTCCAATAACTGTTACTTCAAAAAAAAAAAAAAATTCTAGGTCAATTTTTTAGTTTTTTTTTGATAACATAAATCTTTTTTTTTAACCAAATTTTTACTTAAACAACTCAAAGGAAAAAAATCTAAAATAAAAAAAACAAAAGAAAGTTGAACAGAAAGAAAAAATAAAAGAACAATTAAAAAAAAAACCAAAGAAAATATATTTACAACTTTTTACAACTAAAAAAAAAATGTATAAGTAGCGGAATAAAACACAATTAATGTTGATAAGTATCTCATCAACTTTTAAAAAAAATCCTCAAAATAAGAAATAGGTCTCCTAGCAACAACCTTAGAATTCACAAAACGTGAAATCGGGTTAGAAAGCAATGAAACAGACGCTTTCATCGACTGGATATTAGGCAATGAACTTGATGATTTAATTGTTTGACTGGTAACCAGCGAAACAGGTATTTTTATTGGTTGGTTAGTAGCCTGTGAAACAGCTGATTTCATTTTTTTGTTTGGCGTAATTGGTAACTGCGAAGCAGTTAATTCGGAATTTCGAGCAATGGCTTGAGAAGTAAGATCAATGATTTCCTTATCGAGGCCCCCTAAAATAAAAATTATAAGATATATTCATCAAAATCTTGTTTCATTTAAAAATCCCGATTGAGTGGCTTCAATATTATTATGTTTATTTGTATAAGGGGTCGTCCATAAAGTACATATGCTTTTTTTTTTGTGCCTAATCCCCCCATCATTTTGCCATACGCTTTTTTGAGTACCCTCTACCTCCCTAAAAGTACCTACGCTTTTAACCTACCAACCCAATATTTTATATTTTTTTAAATTTATGTCTCCATACTTTTATAATTGACCTACAGCCCCCCCCCCACTTTATATACGCCATTTTATATACGACCCCCTCTTTCTCTCAGAGCATACGTACTTTATGGACGATCCCTAAGAATTAAAAAATTACCTTCAAATAAAATCATACATTATAAATGACATTCATTATTGGAAAAATTAAAATAATATTTTTTTATATTATTATGCTTTTGATTATTTTGCTATATAAATTTCTTTTTAAAAGGCTTTTTCATTGCATTTTAATAATTTCTTTTGCAAAAACGGTTTTTTTTGTTTGTTTTTTAAATATTTAAGAATAAAATAAAAACAATTAGTTATTAAGAGTCATTGCATTGTAAAAGTCTTTTACATTTAAGATTTTTTAATTGACAAAGTACAAAGTTTACAAAATAATATTTAAGAACAAAGAAGTTATTATTATTTTTTTAACACAACAAATAAACAATTATTCCTGGAGACCAAGTTGTTCTAAAAGTAATATAATAAAACATCCAAACATTTCGTTGACGTTTAGCTTAAGATGTGTAAGATCAGGGTGGCCAGCTAAAAGTAAATTCAATTGTACGGTCGTGTATACATTCATACATACATACATTCATACAAACATTCATATATATATATATATATATATATATATATATATATATATATATATATATATATATATATATATATATATATATATATATATATATATATATATATATATATATATATTTATATGCAAATTCTGACGCACTTTGCAACAATGTCACCCTGTTTCTTTATAACTACAACATCAACAAATTGACGTTGTAGTTATAAAGAAACGTTTCCAGTATACTTTAACTGATTTACACTGCACTGATAGTGTGTGTAAATTTTTTTTTCTCTTCAATTTGGTGAAAAATTTTATGGAAATTCCGAATCTGCAAAAAAAAAATTTGAAAATTAATGTCTTCCTGGGCGGGTCAGCGTTGTTTTGTGCAGGAAAATGACTAAAATGTTACTAATTAACAGGGCAAAACTATAACTTTAAAAAAAAAAAAAATCTTAAATTTTTGATTAGCTCAATAAATGTTATGTTGAATTTTAAGAAAATTGATTATTTGGTTCAAAAAGTCATAAAAATAAATACAGAGTTTTTTGTGAAAAAAACTCTGTATTTATTTTTAATAATAAAACAAAAACTCTTTTCATTTTAAATACAGAGTTTTTAAAACAAAAACTCTGTATTTAAAAAGAAAAGAGTTTTTGTGATGGGGTATTTTTACAAAAATCAAGCACTTTTTTCATATTTTAGACAAAGAATGTTACAATAAATTGTGTTTTTTTTTTTCCAGTTTTTATCAAACTTTAAAAGTAAGCGAAGTTCATTTTGCGGGGAATTTTATAGGAAATCTGAATCTGAAAAAATAAATAAAAATAAAATGTCTTGTTGGAGGGAACCCTTAGTTTTCAACGAAAAAATGACTAAAATATGAATAATTAAAGAGAAAAAGTTATAAATTAAAAAAAAAAACTTTTCAATTATTTGATAAACTCAATATAAACTATGTTGAACTTTATGAAAATAACATATTTTGTTAAAAAGACAAAAAAAAAAAAAAAAACACATAATGGGGGCTTTGGTGAGGGTTGCTTTTGGAAAAATTATTCGATTTTTTCATATTTTAGATGATGAATGTTATCGTAGGGTGCGCTTTCTTTTCTAAAACTAAAGATAAGTCAAACACTTTTGTAATAATAAACACTATATTATATACTAATACATTTATAATAAATATTAATAATACTGATACGTTCATTAAAATTTATATGTAATTAACAACTACTAGTTTATAGATTTTATTTAAAATCTGTGAGTTCAACTAAGTTATATTTTGTATTATTTGTGCTTATACCTACTGATTTCTTGTACTCTTATATATCCTACTCGCTTCTCATGGAAATATGTTTTTACACAAGGAATTCAATTGGAATAAAAAAACTTTGAAAAAGTAACTTTAGGTGAACCACTTATTGTTTTGCAAGACAAAATATTAAACGATCTCACGTCTGATCAGGCGAGTACAGAATTGTAACAGCAATAAGATCTGGAGTGTTAACTGAAAAATTATTAAACTTTCTTGATGGCTCACTACAGCCAACCATTTTTGTAGATCTTGGTTTTTAATTAATTTTCTAACAGAAAAAACCCTCATAAATCTACGTTTAACTATTGAATTTGTGTGCATTTTCCTTGCTGATTTTAAGTAAAGATAAAACATTCTTGGTTGATGGACCTCGGTATATTTTATTCCAATTGAAACAAAAACAAAAAAAAAAAAAGGGTTGTTGCAATAGAATGAAAACTGTAAAGAGATCTGCATGGTTTGCAATTAGTGAATGCATTCAATTCAAACTCTTTTGTGTTCCGAAGATGAAGAGGAATGAAAGTTAGAAGTTAAAAAAATGCTAGAGATTAGAAAGGAAGGAGATGATAATACTCAGTTCGGAGAGTTTCAGTAAGAATTCGCACAACCCCATGCATAAATACTGATGCTAATAAATTGACCAATCTTATTAAGTGGGAAGATTCAATATACAAACCACTACTTACCACAAGCCTCAAAACCTATGAAATCAGAAAATATTTTCACAAGCCTATGGTTGTTCCAGATTGGCCATAGGTTACAAGGCTAGTGTAAAAACATATTTCCATGAGAAGCAAGTATATAAGAGCACAAGAAATCAGTAGGGGCTTATAACCACCAAGAAATTCTTCAAGTTTTTCAGTTAAACTTTTAAAAACTTTATTCACATAAGAACAAGTTTATTGATCTTATTATCTTATTAACCAGAGTTGGTCTGAAGATCTTTTATAGTAAGTTGTGCCGATTTGTAGCTTATACCTTTGTTTGAATTCAGAAGGTTTTATTGAAATTTACTGCAATCTGCTTCATTGACATTATCTTAGAATAAACATATTCTACACAGTGCATAGTCAAACAATTTGTTCCAAGATTTCAAAGATCACAAAAAAGTCACATTGTTGACTGTATTATTTTTTGAAAAAAAAGCCAGCTATATTCTTTTTTAACTAGAATGCTTTTTTTTAGTAAATAAAATTTTTATTAAATTTTTTAGTAAATAATTATTTCTATCAAATTTAAATCATTTAATACGAATTAAGACAGCAGTTTCAAAAAAACAAAACAAATAAAAACGCATTTGATTTAAGTAATACATAAAAATATATAAAGAGTTTTTTTTCCTACTTTTTATTTTATTATTTTTTTAATCGAAATTAAATAAATTAAAAAAGAAGATTTTAATGTTCTCAAATCTATTATAATGAACATTATGAAGAACATATGTTATTTTTATTGTTAAATAAACTTTTGTAGTTGTAATTTCTAAAAGTTTAATTTTTTAAATAAAAGCTGAAACATTTTTTTATGAAGAAATTTGTTATTTGCCTTTATATTTATAACTATTTATTTATATTATTCAGGATTTTTTGTATGATAAAGATTGTATATTTGAGCGAATTTAAAATGCTGAACCAACAACACAAAATGTCGCACAAGTGTCATTCAAATTAGGTAATATGTCATTGATGCAACAGTTGAAATCCTCTTTAATCTGTTTCACCCATTTTCCAACAAAATAAACAAAAAACTTTTTAGTTTTTAGAGTATTCATATTAAGTGAAATTTTATATATTTTTGTTTTGTAGAGTATTCATATTAAGTGAAAAAGCTTTTATTACTTAATAGATTTCATCAAATTTTTAATTGATTTTTTTAACCTATTATAAGTTTGTTAAAATTGTAAACATTATAACTCTGCAAAGATTTATGGGTATTATATCTTTATTGGACATAACTATAAAATAGTTAAACATATTAAATATATTTACAGCTGAATATATTATTAAATATATTTACAGTTAAAGGGATCCCAAACCTCCGAGACATGTTGTGTTTATATTAAAGAGAATGATAAAAATAAATGTTAGGGCTAATTTTTTTTGATTAAATCAAAAGAATAAATGCATACCAAAAAAAATTAATTTTTATTTTAGTCGAAGCACATTTTAATTCTAAGAATTTTAGTACATGAAGTTATTGATTTTTTTGTTTGTGTATAAGATCGATTATGTAAACAAACAAAAAAATTGATAATGTCATGTACTAAAACTCTTAGGGGTAAAACATGATTGAATAAATTATCAAGTCTGTAGATTGCGGCATATATTATGCTGACTTTTTGGCCTTCAATAAAACGGAGAAGGCAAGCTTCAACTGAAATAAAAAAATTAGTTTTTTTTAGTATGCACTTATTCTTTTGTTTTAATCAAAAAAAATTTAGCCCAAATATTTTTTTATATCATTCTCTTTAATATGAACACATGTCTCAGAGGTTTGGGATTTAAATGTTAAATATATCTATTCTTACTGAGTTAGTTTAAAGTTAATAAGTTTTTTTTCTGCTAATGTAATTAACTTTATAATTAACCAGTATTTGTTTTTTGTTTAAAAAAAAAAAAAAAAAAACTACAGCATAATAATTACATAAAAAATTTAATATTTATTTCAAAAATAAGAATATATTTATACCTTAATGTAATTACTCAATAATTTAATTAGGATCCATTAATATGAACACTTACATTTTTATTTTAAAAAAATCTCTATTTGAAATATCTCCTACCAACAATCTTAGAATTTACAAATTGTGAAATTGGGTTGGAAAACAGTGAAACAGAGGATCTCATTGATTGGATAGTTGGCATTGAAATAGATGATCTCATTGGTTGAATAGTAGACAGTGACATTAATGGTCTCATAGGTTGGCTTGTAACTGGTGAAACAGATACTTTCATAGATTGGGTAGTAACCAGGGCAACAGATGAGTTAATTGAGTGAGTAGAAACCAGTGAAACATCTGATTTATTTGGCTGATTAATGGTTGTAATAGGTGAAATAGACACCGTCGAAACAATCAACTCAGTTTTGTTGGAGTCATTAGTAACAATTTGGGATGAATGTTGTTTATCAGATAAGATACTTTTAGATGATTGAGTGAGATCAATGATTTGCTTGCTCAAACCTCCTAAAACAAAAGTGAATATAAGATATATAAAAATATATAAGTTAAACTTTAAATGTGATGAAAATTTAAATGATGAAAACTTAGTGATCATAAAAAATAAACTAATTTTACAGCTTTCAAAAAAAAAAATGCACTCTGATCTAACATGAGTCTAGTAGAATAAGAATAAGAAGAAAGGAACTGAAAAAACAAAAACACAACTGTTATAAATACTTATAATGACACCAGTGAAGCAGATTGATTTTAAACTTTTCTTTTTCAAGGTTACAATATTATAACTGTGACCTTTAGTTAATTTCAAAATTTTGTCAAGTCCTTTTTTAAAATAAAATATCTGAAGAATTTTTTTTTATGCTTTGTAGCACTTATCATGTTCTCTTTTATTTATACTTATTGCTTTAAATATTTATTTTTATTATTTTTATATTTTTGAATTAAGTTAAGTGATTTCTTTCTGATTTTCTTTTCCGCAAACTCAGCTATCACATTGCTGAAATCCATACTTTTTAACAATTTTGATTCAATTGTTAATCTTGCTATATTACTTAAACGACTATGGAGCATTGTTGATTGGTGCATGTTCTTCATTCTTTTAAGAGCAGAGAATGATCTCTCACAATTTGTTATGGGAGTAGTTAGAAACTAACGATATGCAATATAAACATTTAAAGTTACACCAATAATATAGGTTTCTACAATTCAATTTAAAATATGCAGTGGAATCAATGTGTTTTTAGAAGTTGCAACTTTAATAATGATACATATTGCTTGCTGTATGCAAATCTAATTCAACTTTTTGAAGAAATTTGCTAACTTCAATAAACATCATGATTCCAAAGTACAGCCATGAATGTAAACTTTAGCTTAGTGATCTTATTTAAAAAACACGCAACTTCATGAAGAGTATTAGACTTTTCTTCTGTATCCTCACCTATAAGACATATCACTGCATAAATCCCATCCATTTTCTACTAATTTTTTTGAAGCATCTGACCTACATGACCATTGTTTATCTGATAGGCTCTTGAGTGTAGCATGCTTTCCTTTCATTAAATCCCATCTGTGTGTTGAAGCTACAAAAAATGAATACAAACTCTGCATAATGCCAAAATAGTTGATATAGTTGATGCACTCACTGACACTGCACTGCCCTACTAAGATTAAAGAATGTCCATAAAGAGCTAACTCAATTCACTCTATTAAACATGCTTGTAATCCAGAATATTAACCAGACATATTGTTTGCATTATCGTATGCCTGTCCATGAAAATTGCTTAAATCAATATCATATTTTTCCAGTAGATATAAAATGTCAGTAATCAAAGATTTACCTTCGTGGCTTTTAATTTGTAGAAAACAAAAAAATTGCTAATACACGTGGCCATTTAGATAATAATAAAATATCACAGAAAGTTGATCCACGTGAGAAATACCAGGGGCAGAATCTATAATAATTCCCCAGTTTGCTTTTTTTTAATTTTGCTAATGTGCGTTCACAAAATTTTGAAATCTTGCATATATATTTATAGCAAATAAATAAATATAAATATATAAATAAAAAAAAGACTTAACTGTTAAAATAAAATTTTAAAGTTTTCTCATACTATACATATATATCATACACAATCGTTCCATATATTTACTCCAAACTCAACTTAGCCTAGAAGTTTACATTTACAGATGTTTGTAAATAATGCAAAAAAAATGGCAAAACTGTGAAGATGTAATAATTTTAGCAAACAGAAATTATCAAGAAATAGAAGAGTCATAGCAAATCTAAAATCGAAAGTTTAAAATTTTTTCGCTTGGATGAAACAACACGTTTCATATTTTTTCAATCTTGTCAATTTTTAAAATACAATAACATAAATACAAAAATTCAAAACAAAACAGTTTAAGCAAAAAAGACTTTTAATTATTAGAAAAGTTTATTTTCTCTAAATGCAATAAAACTTGCTTATTTAGAGAACCCGGTTGAAAAATGATTACTTGCAATCGGTATAGGAGTTTTACAAAGTTGTTTGTTTTTTTACAACACACTTTACTTTGATAGCTCAGTGGGTTAATGCGCTGTCATCGATGTCGTTTTGTGAAGGTTTAAATCCAATCCTTAACACTATACATTTTCAATTTATTCAATCTAGCTGTATATATTTATAGCAAATAAATAAATATAGCAAAAAAGACTTTTAATTGTTAAAATAAAACTTTACATTTTTTGCTTGCTACAGGCAACTTTTTTTGCTTCAACAGCAGCATCCACTGGAGTAGCAGGACAGGTTTATTAAATTTTTCTTTTATTTTCAGACTAAGAAATTTTTTCAGACCATCTGCTGCTTATTAAGACTCATTACCTGAGAACAATAATAACATAAGTATCTCTATCATGACATATGAGCAACAAATTTCTCTATCATGACATATGAGCAACAAATTTCTCTATCATGACATATGAGCAACAAATTTCTCTATCATGACATATGAGCAACAAATTTCTCCTAATGTTTTGATGTTTTTAGAAATTTTAAACTTTTAAAAAATTCTCTCCCTTTAGTTTATTATAGTATATAAGTTCTTTATATATGTTATATATAGTATATAAGTTCTTTATATATGTTATATATACTTTATATATGTTATATACACTTTATAAATGTTATATATACTTTATATATGTTATATATACTTTATGTATGTTATATATACGATATCTATAGAACTTCAAAAGTGTTTTATTTTAAAAAATCTAAAAATATTTTTTTTAAAAAAAAAGTACAAGTGGTAGGATTTGAACAACGTTGTTGCACATGTCAACTAACCACTTTGGCCATTAAGTTGTATTGTCCAATTAAATTTTTAACACTAATTAATGAACAAAAAAACAAAATGACATTATAAAACAGCAAATAAATGCTATAAATCAAAATTAAAGAGGCATTACCACAACTTTCAAGTAAAAGTAAAATAGTAAAACTTGATATATGTTTTAACAATACATAACTTGAAGTTTAAGTTAAATATTTGCATACACATTCCTTCATATTTCTATGATCAAATAATTGCAGGATCCAACAAAAGCTGCAAACAATAAGTTTTAATTGAAAAAGAAAGTTAAGTGATGTTGATTTAAGATTCTTAATACTTGTATGGACAGTTATCAGTAACCAATGCTACTTTGCAACTTTCTAATTCAAACTTTCTGTCGCATTCTCTGACCTACTTATTAAATAGTTCTGAGTTCATCTTTTTTTGTGCACAGTAATAACATGAAGTAATTTTAATTTCCTTTTAGGAAGCAGGAGTTGTAATGAGACAATATTGTTGACAAAGTGGTTTCCGTCTAAGAAGTTGTCATTTCATTATTAACATTTTTCAATTCCACCAAAGCAAAAGTAGAAAAGAAATTTTAATATTAACATAAATTTTATTTGCTGTTGTTTTAGGTCTTTAAAAAAAATATGTAAATATATGTCTACAATGAAATGATAAAATACTTGATTTATTTTAAACAAAAATAACTGATTTGTCATAAATAAAACTTAGTTTTTGTCATGAATAAAACATTGTTTTTGTCATAAATAAAACATAGCTTCTTTTATTTATTTTTGATTTCTTTTCAACTTCTAAATATATTGTTTGTTTGTTTTTTTTGTTTTTTATTCATCCAAACAATGTTTGCTTTAGAATGCCATATTTCTTTGATATAGATATAGATTCTTATTTGTTGATTTCTTTCAGTATTTTGTACTTTTCTGTTATGATATTTGTTTCAGGCTTTCTTTTAGAAACCTTTGACATCAAGTATTGATTCTTCATATTTTTTTGACATCTTATTTTAAGATTCTTCATACTTTTTTCCCAGAAATAGTCTATAAACCTTTTTATTTTTTTGGATACCAAAAACCAGAAAGAAAAACTTTCAAATCCGAAGTTTCTCTTTTTTTTATTTTATTTCAATTCACCTACCTAAGGCCATAAAGGCCAATACAGTCAAGGAGGGTACTTTTAATTGTGGTTACAACCTCAATTAAAAGTACCCTTTCTTAACTCTATAACTCCAAAACACGAACCTTGACAAACAAGACCACTGCAAAAACAAGTTAAGTGTGGTACAACTAGTATCACGCTCAACTTTTTGCAGGATGTGGTGGGAATCAAACTCCGAATTTCTTGCTTATGAGGCGAGAGCTCTACCATTAGACTATTACAGCATTCTCTTGGTTGTATTATATAACTCTGCATTTAACCAGGACTTAACCAGGAATGACTTAGGTAACTTAAGATTTTAAAGTTTTATAATAAATAGAAAATGTGACTTAAAAACATAAGTGTGTGTGTGTGTGTGTGTGTGTGTGTGTGTGTGTGTGTGTGTGTGTGTGTATATATATATATAATATAAAGAAAATAATATAAAGAAAAAACATTTACAAATGATTTTCAAATAATGATCAACATACGATTTATTTTAACAATATTGATAGGAGGAACTTTTGCTGTACTCTCTTCAACAATTGGTTCGAGTTTTCTCTAAAAAATAAAATTAAAATTTAGAAGGAAATTTTTTATAAAAACTATTTTTTTTTTGTTGCAAAAAATTTATTTTTTGTTATGTGTTTTTGGGAATGAGTATGTTTTATACTTTTGATTTATCACTTTTGATTGCAATAAACTGTTGCTATTTTGATAAAAATCAAGAAAGAAAAAACTCTCAATTGTCAATAAATGCAGTGCCCAAAAATGTTATGGTTACAGCAAAACTACAAAAAAAATGTTAATTTAATAAACCTATATTACCAAATAAAGTTTTGTAGCAAAAGACTATAAAAAAAACCTACTAAATTGGAAAATAATAACATTTATAAATGCAAAGATATAACTGCAGAAGAGATTTCAAAAAAAGTTTTAAAAAGCATTTATTAGTTATAAACATTAAAAAAAACCTCTATATTCCAACACTCTATATTCTCTATATATTCTCTATATAAACTCTATATTCCAAAAAGTACTAGGTTATGATTTTATTTCCAAGACAACTGTTGACAGTATTTCAATAGTGTCAAGTTCAAAAATGATTTGAAATTGTGTTTAAGTTATGTTTAAAGTTAATTGTGTTTTAAGTTGAGATAACACACAAAAGTGTGACCAAAAGACTTTTTTGAACTTGTTTGATTCAAAATCTATTGAAAATGCTATAAGATCTGCACATTAAAATTGAAGTTGGAATTATTAACTAAATGCTAAAGCCTTTTCACCAAATAAAAAGTGCAATTAAAAAAACAAAAACTTAATTTAATAAAACTCTTATGATATTGAAATTTTTGTGTATCGTAACAAAGATTGTCATTATATATCACAAATTATCTTATGTTAAAGAGTATAAACAAAATCTTTTAAAAATAAATAACTTGATATAAATAAATCAATAAAATTTATATAAATGAGTATGTATAATTAAATAAAAAGCTTATATTTAAAAATTTTTTAATAACAACCAAGAAAAATAATTTGAATAAATTAAAAATAAATAAAGACAAACTTTTTGTGAAGTCAGTTTAACTTTTTCTCTTGCTTGTATGATATTAGGCGTAAAAAACTTCTTTGCTTCTTCTGCTCCTTCAACAGACTATTTATGACAAAGATGTGATAACAAAAATTATTGCAAATATTGGAAAAAAATTGAGAAAAAAAATTACCTCTTTATACTTTAAAAGAATCAATTCTCTAAGTTCTTGAGGATACAATGGTCCAACCAAACTGCCACAGTCAATAATATATACCTGGAAAAAAAATTCTCAACTTAAATATTTAATTAACAAAATAAAATAATGGTAATCATAATGTACATACATAAATGCATAATATGTACATATATAATATGTATGTATGTATGTACATACATAATGTACATACATACACACATGATTTGACATAATACTAACTTGGATAGCAAACTTTAAGGGAATAATATGGATAAACAATATAAAGTTAAGTAATAAATAAAAAATTATTACATGTCATAAAGAACATCCTAAACAAAGGACTACAAAATGCTAAATAGCATTCTGGAAGAAACCAGAAATCGGAAAAAAATCTTAATGTTATTTTTATCAGAGTCAAACTAAAGTCTTTTATTTGGTCCAATTTCACAAAATGGTTTAATCATTATTGGCTTTGAGTTTGTTTTGCATAATGCTTTACCCCATAAAGATTTCAAACATAATGGTAACAGGGAATATAAAAATTTAGTTGCAGCATAAACATCCTTGCCACTTTTACATTCTTCTTTACGTTTAAAGAATGCTTTAATTTGCTGTCATTGCGTGAATTTTCTTTTCTTTATTACCTTTGTATGGCTATGCCTTTCTTGATTGCTAAAACCTTTTTCAATATTATTTTTATCCCTCCATTGAGTCAAGAACCTGGGTAACTAACATTTTCCTTGTTTACTTTTGGTATTACTTTGGTTGCAGGCAACAATTTAGATATTACTTCTACTGATAAAGAACTATCAGATTGTTTGATAAGGTTTTATGGCACTTTTGAATGTTTGTTTCCAATAAGTTACTGAGCATATTTTAGAGTTAAAATTGTTATTGCTGCTGGTGATGATTTTTAGTAAATTCAGTAATAAACAAATCAGCTTGTAAAAACTTATGTTCCTGCTTCCACTTAACAATAATTACTCCACTTGAGATGCCCACATTTTTTACCTTGATTATTAAAATAAAAAGCGAAAAACTTAGATTTAGCACTTTAGAATTTAGAATATAATTTCTTTTTAATTTGGTCAAGAAGCTGAGTAATGCCATTTATTTGAGGTGGAGCGATGAAAAGTCTAATGGTTTTGCATTATATAAAACAAAAAAAAAATTTAATATTTTCTTATCTAAATAGCAATCCAATTTTTAATTAGCGCTGTGTAGAAGTGTGACCACGTAGACGTGTACTGTGATCTCGGATGCCACTATCATTAGTGAAGATATACAAAGTTGAAATTTGTTTAGCTGCCATTTTTGGGGCCATGTAAGCACTAATACCTTTTAATTTGAATATGATGTGGCACATAGTTGTCTCTTGAAAAAGAAACAAAAAGAGTTACATTTATGCACTCCTTGTTTTCTCTACCATTCTTTGACAGCTTTCTCTCCTGCCCAGCATACACGAAACCATTTGAAGTCAACAAACTTCGAAAATTAAAGTTTAAGAACTGGGGTTTTATCATGATTTTTTACAATCATGATAAACCCCATAATTTGTAAAGATGTAGTTAAAAACACAATTCATAAATACAGTGCCCAAAAAAAGTCTGCTTTGTTTCCTTATTAGTTTGTTTTTTTCAATTCATTTTATTTCAACACTAACTTCATCCTTTCTCAGCTGACATTACAGGAGATAAACACCTTTAAACACCTTACAGGAGATAAACACATTACAGGAGATAAACACCTTTAAACACCTAAAGAGAGACCTTATAACTTCAAAAAGAACATTCTGATTCTGGGTTATTACTGGAATTACAGACAGAATATATTATATATAAAGGATAAGTGAACCAAACATTTATGAACTAATTTGGCAAAATTTATGGGAAAATGAAAACAATATTTACTATAAAAAACTAAAAAAAAAGTCCTCAAATTTTAATTTTGGCAGCGCCCAAAAACGATTGACGCTGAAAAAGGGTCTAGAATAGCCCATGTATATATATATATATATATATATATATATATATATATATATATATATATATATATATATATATATATATATACACACATATATATATATATATATATATATATATATATCGATTGATGTTAAATTTGTATTACCAAACTCTATTATTGTATTACAAAATTCTATTTCGGTTAAGAGTGCTCAATAATAAAGAAAGTAAACAACTTTCTAACTAGAGCGGTATATATATATATATATATATATATATATATATATATATATATATATATATATATATATATATATATATATATATATATATATATATATATATTTATTTTTATTTACATATAGAAAAAACAACTTTTCATGGGACTAATAGTTTCATGCTAATACAGCAATTATCAGCCATGTACTATATCAAAAACAAACAAACTGTTAATAAAATTACAAAATACAGTGGAGCGACATCTGACGTCTCTATAGAGACAAAAAAAGAAAACGTCAAAGAAAATCTTATATAAATCAGCTAATCGCCAGTATCATAAAACGAAAGAAGGAATTTATTTTTATGCCTACAATTTGAAACCAACTCGTTCCTTTTGTTCAACAGGTTTCCCCCTGCATGGATTAAAATAAAATACTTTTCATTAAGACAAAGATTGCAAATTTTGGGCGAAGGATTATATGTTTGGCAGCGCTTGATAATTTTCCATTTAGTAACAAACGAAAAGACTTTTTACCATGACTTTTACCCATCGATTAATGTAAAACTACTTAGCGACGCAATAGAGTTTGCTGGTCAGCACCTAGTTTTAAATCAAGAAGATAGGAAATTTATTATGCACGCGAGAAAATCTTTAATCTTTACCAATGGCGATTCTTGGATTAAAAAAAACAGAGAATTTTTTGATGTAACTATGGGTGCTTATGATGGTGCAGAAGTATGCGAATTAGTGGGAATTTTTATCTTGCACCAACTATCTCAATATTACAACGGGAAGGAATTAGGTTTGTACCGGGATGACGGTCTAGCTATATTTAAAAATCGTAGTGGCCAACAAATGGAAAAAATAAAATTTTGTTAAAATTTTTAAAAGCAATGGTCTCCATTTATCTATCAGCTGTAATATTAAAATTGTCAATTACCTCGACTTAACACTAAATCTTAACAACAGTACCTTCCAACCTTACTCAAAGCCCGATAACACTCTTAATTATATTCACGCCGACTCTAACCACCCTCCATGCATATTAAAAAGTCTACAGCGAACAATTGAACTAAGATTGTCTACTGCATCTTCAAACAAAAAAATTTTTGAAAAAGCTGTTTCTCCTTATCAGGATGCATTAATAAAATCGGGTTTCTCATCCAAGCTCAAATATCAGTCAGATATAATTCCCACTAAAAACAAAAATCACAAACGAAACATTATTTGATATAATCCCCCGTATAGTAAAAATGTTGCAACAAAAATTGGTAATCTTTTTTTAAAAATAATTGATACAAGCTTTCCTGTTGGTCATTTATTATACAAGATTTTTTAACAGAAACACCATTAAAATTAGCTACTCGTGTATGCCGAACGTTAAATCAGTCATTAATTCGCATAATCAAAATATTTTATACAATCATGAAAAAACAACAACAAAAACTTGCAACTGCATCAATAAATCTACCTGCGTTATGAACAACCAGTGTCTAAGTAAGAACATTGTGTATCAAGCTACTGTTTCATCCAATAAACCAGATTACACAGATAAAGTTTATATTGGTATTAGTGAGACCCCTTTCAAGTTAAGATATGCAAACCATTTAAAATCTTTTAATTTAATTAAGTACAGCAATGATACGGAGTTATCTAAAGAAATTTGGAAACTTAAAGAAGAAAACTTTTCATTTGTTACTAAATGGAAAATTATCAAGCGCTGCCAAACATATAATCCTTCGTCCAAAATTTGCAATCTTTGTCTAAATGAAAAGTATTTTATTTTAACCCATGCAGGGGGAAACCTGTTGAACAAAAGGAACGAGTTGGTTTCAAATTGTAGGCATAAAAATAAATTCCTTCTTTCGTTTTATGATACTGGCGATTAGCTGATTTATATAAGATTTTCTTTGACGTTTTCTTTTTTTGTCTCTATAGAGACGTCAGATGTCGCTCCACTGTATTTTGTAATTTTATTAACGGTTTGTTTGTTTTTTATATAGTACATGGCTGATGATTGCCGTATTGGCATGAAACTATTAGTCCCATGAAAAGTTGTTTTTTCTATATGTAAATAAATATATATATATATATATATATATATATATATATATATATATATATATATATATATATATATATATATATATATATATATATATTTTAATTCAGCAAAAGTTTAATTTGTGTTTTGCTTCATAACTGTAACAAAACTACAGCTTTTGCATATTTTACATCTTTGAATAAAGGATAAACAAATGTTTTTTAGATATTTTAAAATTTCAAAGATAAATGTTTTATAAATATATAAAAGAAAAAGTATCAAGACAACAACTGGACAATTTGTGATGAGTTAAAAAGCTAATTTTTCTTCTAGGTCAAAAAGGGGTACATAAAGTTCCCTGGTTTTATTTATCTTTAAAATAGTCATGACAAACAACACCACTGGTTACAAAAGGTTTGCTAGTGCAAGAAGAGCCTCAAAGTTGGTACAAAAAATTTTATAATGTACATAAATGCGCCTTTAGTTAGCCAAGACTACATCATACTTCCACCATTTCATATTAAACTCAGCATAATGAAACAGTTTGTGAAAGTGCATAACAAAAGTGACAAATGTTTCAAATTTTATTTAAACTTTCATTTTCGTTTTAAGTACAGAAAAATTAAAAACTAGTATTTTTGATGAGCCACAGATTAGTCTCCATCAATAACTGAACTCATTTGTTTTGGCTAAGAGTAAATTCCTAGATAAAAAGAAATATGACAACCATGTCAAGCTTGCTGAGTGCATGCTATCAAACTTGCAAGAGTTAGGGTGCAGCATGAGCTTAAAAATACATTACCTACAATTTAGACCAATTTCTACAAAATTTGAGCAATTTCAGTGT